ACTACATGCTGAGCATGCATGCCCTGTTTGCTTCGACGTTGTTTGAGTTGTTGTAGAGTTTTAGCAATTCTTTGGTCTTCCCTCCCGCTTGGAGCCACCGGCTTAAGGCAACCTCATTGTTAAAACAACCTTACCTGCTAAACTTCCAGAGTTTCGGATCAATAGTGGCGACAATATCAAGGACGATCCCTTGATTCTTCTCGCTATCTTCGAGTGGACCCGGCGAGTCCTGTTCTTTCCATGCTGTCGTGATGGCGGCTCGGAGTGATCGACTGATATCAATTGGAACTGCAAATGCGTGCATGTAGTCCGTGTGCCGCATTGCTTCCCACCGACACTCGATGCTACGGGCTCTCAAATAGTGATCTTCAAGCTGAACTGGATACTTGGCAAGTGTATCCATGGCGAATTTCAAGTTTTCCGTGTTCCTTGCCCAACAAACAAAGCGATCAAGAGTCACAGTAAGCCCAGCTGGGTATTTGTGAATAGCTAGACGGGGTTGACCGGATGTCAACGTAGTTTGGCGGAGCTGCTTCGTCGTCACCCTGGAATTACCGCGACGTTTCGGCCGAGGAAGGCTTATGATATCAACAGCACGGCTTGCAATTGTTGGTACTTCTGGATCTGGCGGCGACATATTAAAAGTATCATTGACGCGTTCTGGGTTTGCACTGTCCCGTTCAGACTCAGATGCTTCATACTCCGATGCACCTTCACTATCCGTGCAGGCTTCTGGAGAGGGCGAAGCGAATTCTAGCTCGTCCATAAGTTTCGCTGTTTCCATTGCCTCAAGTGGGTCAAGCGAGGAGAAATCGTCTTGATCGTCATCGTCTTCGTTACTACTACCGTCATCGCGATTACCATTGACTTCGCGGTTGAGACCAATCTCCACCGTGTCCTTCCAGGCAGAGAGTTCTTGATAGAAATCAGCGCTTGATAGACACGATAAATGTTCCAGCAGAGGCTCTAACACTGCTTTTGCGTATGAATACTTTTCCGATGACGACAAAACCACCTGGTTGGCACGCTCCTTCCTGTGAAGGCGAACGTAGGCAATCTCTTTGGGTATCTTAGAAGCTGTCATACAGGATCCGTGATCATCACTTTGTTCCGCAACCTTGTCATCCTCCGGCAACTTTACTTTCGGCGACCTTAACTTGGACATTTGCACAATAGCTTTCAGTAAGTCGGCCGCCGCAGCAAGGTCTTCTTTTGCTTCTAAGGCCACCGACAAACTCCATCGTTTCTCAATCGAAGTAACAGGTAGCATATTGAGCCGAAGTCCAGATTCTGACAAATGCATCATGTGTCGGCAAGGTAGATGATGACTCTTGAAGAATAAGCAGGTACATGTCCATTCTCCATCGTTGCACACAAATGTTTCATTCCCACAGTTGACCTTCCAAAACGAAACACCTCCAGCAACTCGTTTGCACGAAGCGCCTGTCATAAGGTTGACGAAGCGCTCCCACTCCTTCTTGACCGTCGAAAATATATCCGCAGACAGTCTATTAGCCACAGCTCGCAAAACCTTTGGCACCGTCTTGGGTGCACGTGAAGTTGACTGCTGATGTCCAATAGTGAAAACAATTTTCTGCGTAATTGTCATTTGATGCTGAAGCAACCCAGCAATAGTCTTGTCAATTCTCGTTTTGTGACCAAGCAGCATCTTGACTTGATTCCAGTTTGACTCGATTCTATTCGTTGTGGTATTGCCAGCAGTAAAAGCCTTCCCTCTAGCAAAATTGGCCCACATGTCACGGCACGAGTTCCAGTTTTTATCGAAGTACGCAAAAAAGGCTTCGCGCTTCTGGTCATTACAATACTGCCGCAGTGCGTCGTAGTAGAAGTTGTATCTGGTACTAGAGGTACTAACATAAATCAAAGGCAATCACAAATTAGCCTCCACATACACGGTGAAAAGCAACCTTACTCACCTGTAAAGTAGTTTGATCATTCGGACCAGCAGTTCCTCACATTGCGAAACTCTTAGGCGATACAACGGACGCTTCATTACCTTCTTCCAGGAACTAATCGCATGGAACTGACATAACAGAACCTTGGCTCTCGGAAAGACAACCTTTAATACGCCCCACTCAGCAAAATCTTTGTCAATTACCACCGATTGAATGTGCTTCCAGCCCGAGTTCTTCTCCTTGAAGTAGTCCAAAATTCTGGACATTGTCAGTGCTTGCTTGTTGAGACAAATGAAATCAAAAACCCGGAAACTCTCGACCCGTAGCTGTGGTGACAACCAAACTTCTTAAAAGGTCAAAACCAAAACAAAGCTGAGTTAATCATACAGCAACTTTAAGTAGATAAGGTTGTTATACATCAGAATAAAGTTACAACAACCATAGCTGTACGCACCCAGATGATAGCCCAGATTATTCGTTCCGTGGGTAAAGTCCATCGCTAACGTATCACCCCATCGCTCGAACATTAGCTTCTGCACTTTTGTCTGCAAAACGATCCCGGTTGTAACGCCAATTTGGTCTTGCATCACGAGAACATCACTGGCATCCAATTGGCGCAGCGCGTGCAGCATATCCTTCAATCGGATTTCAGCAGAATCCCTCCCCATGATATTGCGAATGAGGTTGCGGGTCTGCTGTGGAGTAATCTCGCAGCCTATTATTTACATATACGGTCATACGAAGAACATAGTAGCAGACGTGTAAATTAAAATAAAAATAAAATCTGACTTACATACCAATCCGCTCATTCAAAAAGCTGGAGATGTGCTTCGAAGAAGCACGTGCATCCGCCAAGGTTTTCACGTCGTCACGATCCTGCTCGTCCAATGGTAAGGTCTTAGTCGTCAGATATGACGAGGCTTCAGCAGCAGTGGTAGGGTGGGAATGGGTGTGATTCTGGAACAAAGCAGATAGCGATTGGTAACTATAATAACACCCA